ACTAAATAACAAGTTAAATATACAATTTAACGCACATTTATAGCAATTAACTAAAATGACATTTTCGTAAGGTTTAATTATTTGTTGACACTTAGTGTTTTCAACAATTATCTTGTCATCAAAACAGAGAGAAGGTCAGCATAGGAATATTATTATATAAAGTATTAAATAGTGGAACTTTTTGTTTAGTAAAGACAAATTAAATGTCAATATTCATTAAGCGATTAGAATGCAAAAGATAATGTTGAGTTTAAAAAGACTTCTGGTGTGAGTGCCTTGACAAGATAAATATCTGTGTTTAGTTACCAACATCAGTCATATTATTTTAATTCAAAAGTCGAAAATTTAAACTTATTAACTAACTATTTGTACTCGTGCGACTATAAGGCCAAAGTCATCTAGTAGTATTTTGATATTTTTCTTGTTTTAACTATAATATTGTTTTCTCATTAGTAGAATATTTATAGACAAATCCTTTGAAAGTGAAATAAGTAGTTTAGTTTCATAACTTGTCATCTATTCACTTAATATGTTTTCAAATTTACAAATATCTAACTAAACTCAAGACCTGATAAGTTTTTGTAAACCAAGTAAAATCAATTAAACTCTAACACACTCACAACTTTTCAAAAATTCCCTCCTTTACGCCACCTTCATATTCTTCGAACTAATAATTTTTGGCATTTATTCTCTCTAACATTGATATTTAGCAATTTTGTAATCATTTTGCAAAATACAACATTTGCTATTAATATGAATTTCCGGCAAATAGGAATTTACAAAAGAGAAAATGCCAAAGATAGGAAGAAAGAACGAAGAAAAAAAATGTTAAATTTCATATTTACAACACCCCAGGGAGGAATTCCAGCTAAAATAACTAAATATAATGATAACTTTATGGTAGTTAATATAAAATGTCCTTCCTGTTATGGGTGTTATATGTTACACTAACACTTTTTCCAAGACACAAAATAGGTTTGAATGTCTGTGCTAAGGGTAGTAGTAGGGGTTTGTGTAGCTGTATGTTTAGTTCCAGTCTAGATATTTTAATTTAAGTAGCTTATCTAAGCACGCACTTAGTTGGTTTATATCATGGTCATTCATGCATATAAGTAAACACTTTATTACATTCCTGACATCATTAAACATACATAAAACTTAACGTTTCCCTCTCTCTCACCTACTAACACTTCCTTACATACATATGTAAGTATAACTATACTCTTAGTGGCCAATACAAGTACAACATCATAAAGAGAAGATTGTGAGACATTTATGTTATGTTATTAAAAGTATATTAGCCCAGTCAAAGTGGAAGAAAACTAAACTCGAAAAATGAGGAAAGCTCTCCCGAGATTTTAACCAATTCGGCTATGTCTTGTCTATGTCTTGTCTATGTCTTGTCTATGTCTTGTCTATGTCTTGCTATTCTGTCTATGTCTTGTCTATGTCTTGTCTATGTCTTGTCTATGTCTTGTCTATGTCTTGTCTATGTCTGTCTATGTCTTGTCTATGTCTTGTCTATGTCTTGTCTATGTCTTGTCTATGTTGTCTATGTCTTGTCTATTTGTCTATGTCTTGTCTATGTCTTGTCTATGTCTTGTCTATGTCTTGTCTATGTCTTGTCTATGTCTTGTCTATGTCTTGTCTATGTCTTGTCTATGTCTTGTCTATGTCTTGTCTATGTCTTGTCTATGTCTTGTCTATGTCTTGTCTATGTCTTGTCTATGTCGTCTTGTCTATGTCTTGTCTATGTCTTGTCTATGTCTTGTCTATGTCTTGTCTATGTCTTGTCTATGTCTTGTCTATGTCTTGTCTATGTCTTGTCTATGTCTTGTCTATGTCTTGTCTATGTCTTGTCTATGTCTTGTCTATGTGTCTATGTCTTGTCTATGTCTGTCTGTCTTGTCTATGTCTTGTCTGTCTTGTCTATGTCTTGTCTATGTCTTGTCTATGTCTTGTCTATTCTTGTCTATGTCTTGTCTATGTCTTGTCTATGTCTTGTCTATGTCTTGTCTATGTCTGTCTATGTCTTGTCTATGTCTTGTCTATGTCTTGTCTATGTCTTGTCTATGTCTTGTCTATGTCTTGTCTATGTCTTGTCTATGTCTTGTCTATGTCTTGTCTATGTCTTGTCTATGTCTTGTCTATGTCTTGTCTATGTCTTGTCTATGTCTTGTCTATGTCTTGTCTATGTCTTGTCTATGTCTTGTCTATGTCTTGTCTATGTCTTGTCTATGTCTTGTCTATGTCTTGTCTATGTCTTGTCTATGTCTTGTCTATGTCTTGTCTATGTCTTGGTCTATGTCTTGTCTATGTCTTGTCTATGTCTTGTCTATGTCTTGTCTAGGTCTTGTCTATGTCTTGTCTATGTCTTGTCGATGTCTTGTCTATGTCCTTGTCTATGTCTTGTCTATGTCTTGTCTATGTCTTGTCTATGTCTTGTCTATGTCTTGTCTATGTCTTGTCTATGTCTTGGTCTATGTCTTGTCTATGTCTTGTCTATGTCTTGTCTATGTCTTGGTCTATGTCTTGTCTATGTCTTGTCTATGTCTTGTCTATGGTCTTGTCTATGTCTTGTCTATGTCTTGTCTATGTCTTGTCTATGTCTTGTCTATGTCTTGTCTATGTCTTGTCTATGTCTTGTCTATGTCTTGTCTATGTCTTGTCTATGTCTTGTCTATGTCCTTGTCTATGTCTTGTCTATGTCTTGTCTATGTCTTGTCTATGTCTTGTCTATGTCCTTTTCTATGTCTGTCTATGTCTTGTCTATGTCTTGTCTATGTCTTGTCTATGTCTTGTCTATGTCTTGTCTATGTCTTGTCTATGTCTTGTCTATGTCTTGTCTATGTCTTGTCTATGTCTTGTCTATGTCTTGTCTATGTCTTGTCTATGTCTTGTCTATGTCTTGTCTATGTCTAGTCTATGTCTTGTCTATGTTTGTCTATGTCTTGTCTATGTCTTGTCTATGTCTTGTCTATGTCTTGTCTATGTCTTGTCTATGTCTTGTCTATTTATTTTTAAAATTATCCAACTATGACTGGACTACATATTAGTACGTAGTACATGTACATATGTAGTAGTCATTAAACAAATACTTTCATAGAAAAGCGAAAACATACATATTAAGAAGTCTCCTATAACTAACTAAAATATATTGTATGTCATTTAATATCAAATCATATCTCTTGTCTAGAATAGCTCTCTAAGTATATGTTCTTAAGTAATTTAGAAGTTTAGTAGCAATACTTATTAGATTGTAAGTGCCATAAGATAGATACCAATGAAATTATTATTAAGTGTATATTACTATTATAATAACAAAAATACAGAAAAAATCCTGAAGATTTATTTCAACAAAACTTGAAGTTTAAAGACAACAATTAAATTTTAAATTTTATATGAATTTAATATTAGTATTAATTTTTGAAATGAATTGGGTTCTTGTATTTTGTTACAATACACCCTATTTTACGATACATGGTAGACGAACATTTTTTTAATTTTTATCTAAACAAGTAAAAAAATGTCCAAAATGATGATGTCATTGCCAACGTCTTTTAGGAATATTTTACGTTATATTATGTTCAATGTAATTTAAATCCTTCGGATTTTCTTATTAAATCGTAGAGTGTTTTACAAACAAATAAATAAAAGTAATTACCTTTTTTATGGAAGATTTTAAAGTTATGAACACATTATGTCTATCTCGAATTATATATCAATGGCTTTGTATGCGTTTATGTTTGTGTCTCTGTTTGTGACTATGTTTGTGTCTCTGTTTGTGACTATGTTTGTGACTATGTTTGTGTCTCTGTTTGTGACTATGTTTGTGACTATGTTTGTGACTATGTTTGTGACTATGTTTGTGACTATGTTTTTGACTATGTTTGTGACTATGTTTGTGACTATGTTTATGAATATATTTGTGCCTATATTTGTGTCTATGACTGTGTTAACGTTTGTATATATATTTGTGTTTATGTTTATGTCTATGTTTGTCACTGTTTGTGTCCATGTTTGTATAGATATTTGCGTCAATGTCTGTGTTCATGTTTACTTTTATAGTCTATGTATGACTTTTTTAGGCAAAGATCTATAGTCTAATTTTGATGTATGGTAAATTGTGGATATTGATGTTTCCACTTAGAATGTCTTAGGATATTCTTAGGACTTTGCATAAACTTCAATTCAAACTTACCTAAAACCCTCGAGTTTGCTTTAACTTATGATTTATTTTTCTAAAAAAAATCCCGTCCCGCCCTTATTTCTTTGGTACTTTATAATATCGCTATAATGCTGTTCCAACATTAGTTCTTCTTTCTTCTATGGAGCGATATTTTTTATATCCTAAGTTGTAAAAGTCAGCAAACGACTTTCAGTTAATTTTAACTGGAATTTAAGACTAATTTTATGTTGATGAATATCCTTATGTTTATTAGCTTTTAAACTGACTGCTGATATTAAACTTTTTAAAAAAATGCTCAACTCCTTAAAACCACTTAGTTTTGTAAACTTTTTCAATATTTTTTCAATAGAAATATTAACTATAAGTTATAATTTAAATATTTAATGTCATGCTGAATACACGCACTTCACTTTAACTGTAATTTAATTCTTAAAATTAAAACATTTTGATATAATTTTTTTAAACAAACCCACATATGATGATTATAGGACAAATCGTATAATTATAGCAAAACAAAGTAAAATGACTATATTTTTCAGGATCATTGTGGGTAAACATTATTAAATGAATTTGAATTTTAAATAACAACAATTGAATTATTAAAACTAAACAACAAATATAATTAAATATTCATATAAAAGCAGCAACAAAGCTAGTTAGAGCGTTAAAACGTTAGTTAGGTCAACAAAAGTAAACGTAAGAAAAAAAAACTTAATAAAGTGATTTTCGAGGAAGCAAAATAAGAAAATGAAAAGAGCAGTAAAATTTAATGATTTTGTTAAATATGCCAATTTTTTCTACGCCACCATAGGTGTACAACCTTATGAGGATTTGGGTAATACGAAAGGGAAATCCTTTTTAACACTTATCATATTTTTTGTGGGCATTATCAATATGAATATAATGCTTTTAAGTGAAGTTGTCTTTGTTATAATGGCGGTGGTAAATGGTAATAATTTTTTGGAGGCCACCATGACCATGTCCTACATTGGTTTTGTTTTAGTGGGAAATTGCAAAATGTTATTTGTTTGGAGGCAAAAGTCGTCCTTAACTAGATTTGTTAATGGTTTGAAGAGGATATTTCCCCAAGACTTGGAATTGCAAGAGTCATATCACTTACGCAAATATCTGAAGCAGTGTTCCAGAATAACCATGAGCTTTTCTTTACTTTATATGATTTTAATATGGACTTATAATCTCTTTAGCATTGTACAATATGCAATTTATGATCGTTGTTTGAGCATTCAGCAGATGGAGCAAACATTGCCTTATTTAATGTATATACCCTGGGATTGGCACAATCATTGGTCATATTATGTGTTATATGCAGCTCAAGATCTGGCGGGTTATACCTCGGCAGCCGGACAAATAGCTAGTGATTTATTTTTAGTGGCCTGTGCCACTCAACTGATAATGCACTTTGATTATCTCTCCAGTACAATTGCTCACTATCAGAGTAAAGTGGGTAAAAGAGGTCTGAGTATTACACAAGCCCAAGAAGAAGATATGAATTTTTTAAGGAAAATGACCAAATATCATGCCTATTTATTGGAGTAAGTACATATTTTGAATTCTTTTATAGACAACCTAAATATTCTCTCATATTTTTACAGTTTATCCGAACAAATCAATAATGTTTTCGGTCTACCTTTGCTTTTTAAACTTTATAACTTCGTCTTTTGTTATCTGTTTTGTGGGCTTTCAGATTACTATTGGCGCCACTCCGGAAACTGTAGCCAAATTGATTTTATTTTTATTCTCCTCAGCAGCCCAAGTCTATTTGATATGTCACTATGGTCAACTACTAATAGATGCAGTATGTTATTGCGAAACCTTTAGTTTAATAAATTATTAAAAATCTTCCTCTCATCTCTTTAAGAGCACCAATGTAGCCCATGCTGTTTACAATCAAAATTGGATCCCGGCAGATGTACGTTATCAAAAGATGCTGATTCTAATAGCAGAACGTGCTCAAAAACCGGTACAGTTAAAGGCCACAACCTTTGTTCATGTTTCGCGCGGCACCATGTCGGAGGCAAGTACATTTTCTTTTAAACTGATCTCTATTGCAATTTACTTGAAAACTTGTTAATATTTTCGTTATTTATTTACAGATCATGCAAATTTCGTATAAATTCTTTGCGGTTTTAAGGACTATGTATTCGAACAAATAGATGTACTATATATAAAAACTAAATATTTTAATTTAATTAATGAACAAGCATGTAAATAAGTTGTAATAAATGCAAATAAATTTCAATTTAAAAATACACTTGCAAATAAACTTCAAAAAAATGTCGTAATTTTTAAACATATCAGGGGACCAAAGTTGGTCTACAACTGAACTAGATCTGAACTAGAACAGAACTAGAACTGAACTAGAACTGAACTAGAACAGAACTAGAACTGAACTAGAACTGAACTAGAACTGAACTAGAACTGAACTAGAACTGAACTAAATTTCAAAATTTCATTAGAAATATAATTTTCATCTACAACTCGATATTTCAATAAAAATTTATTTAAAAAAAAAAAAATGGAAAAATTTATTTTAAATTTTTCACAAACAATTAGTTAGTTAGTTAGTAGTTAGTAGTTAGTTAGTTAGTTAGTTAGTTAGTTAGTTAGTTAGTTAGTTAGTTAGTTAGTTAGTTAGTTAGTTAGTTAGTTAGTAGTAGTTAGTTAGTTAGTTAGTTAGTTAGTTAGTTAGTTAGTTAGTAGTTAGTTAGTTAGTTAGTTAGTTAGTTAGTTAGTTAGTAGTTAGTTAGTTAGTTAGTTAGTTAGTTAGTTAGTTAGTTAGTTAGTTAGTTAGTTAGTTAGTTAGTTAGTTAGTTAGTTAGTTAGTTAGTTAGTTAGTAGTAGTTAGTTAGTTAGTTAGTTAGTTAGTTAGTTAGTTAGTTAGTTAGTTAGTTAGTTAGTTAGTTAGTAGTTAGTTAGTTAGTTAGTAGTTAGTTAGTTAGTTAGTTAGTTAGTTAGTTAGTAGTTAGTTAGTTAGTTAGTTAGTTAGTTAGTTAGTTAGTAGTTAGTTAGTTAGTTAGTTAGTTAGTTAGTTAGTTAGTTAGTTAGTTAGTTAGTTAGTTAGTTAGTAGTTAGTAGTTAGTTAGTTAGTTAGTTAGTTAGTTAGTTAGTTAGTTAGTTAGTTAGTTAGTTAGTTAGTTAGTTAGTTAGTTAGTTAGTTAGTTAGTTAGTTAGTTAGTTAGTTATGTTAGTTAGTTAGTTAGTTAGTTAGTTAGTTAGTTAGTTAGTAGTTAGTTAGTTAGTTAGTTAGTTAGTTAGTTAGTTAGTTAGTTAGTTAGTTAGTTAGTTAGTTAGTTAGTTAGTTAGTTAGTTAGTTAGTTAGTTAGTAGTTAGTTAGTTAGTTAGTTAGTTAGTTAGTTAGTTAGTTAGTTAGTTAGTTAGTTAGTTAGTAGTTAGTTAGTTAGTAGTTAGTTAGTTAGTTAGTTAGTTAGTTAGTTAGTTAGTTAGTTAGTTAGTTAGTTAGTTAGTTAGTTAGTTAGTTAGTTAGTTAGTTAGTTAGTTAGTTAGTTAGTTAGTTAGTTAGTTAGTTAGTTAGTTAGTTAGTTAGTTAGTTAGTTAGTTAGTAGTTAGTTAGTTAGTTAGTTAGTTAGTTAGTTAGTTAGTTAGTTAGTTAGTTAGTTAGTTAGTTAGTTAGTTAGTTAGTTAGTTAGTTAGTTAGTTAGTTAGTTAGTTAGTTAGTTAGTTAGTTAGTTAGTTATCATACTTGTATTACTATTTTAAAATTTTCCCTTGAATTATCTACATCCACGAAAACCCTACAATTTACCCTTTTATCACAACAAAAGAATTTGTTTTACAACATTGGATTTTAACAATGGTAATAAAGTCACTACCCTCTATAACTAATAACTACTATTAAATATATGAAATGTTCGTTACATTTTAATATTTAAAGAGAAACTTCAAAGGAAATCATAGAAAAAAACTAACAAACAACAGGAAATAAAAGTGAATGTACAGATTAGAAATAAGTTTAGTTTCTAAAAACAGTTCATGCAAAGAGGACAACTGCTACCACACGTACCATGAAGCTAGCCACTTTCGACGATTTTATGAAATTGGCCAATTTCTTTTACACCACCATTGGTATTCAACCATATATCAAAGAGGATGCTTCGAAAGGCAACAACAATCTTATGGCAGCAGTGATATTTTACTCAGGTGTCATTAATATGAATTACGTGCTGTTTAGCGAAATATTATATGTAATAATGGCTTTGGTGAAAGGTGAAAATTTTGTGGAGGCCACCATGACCATGTCCTATATTGGTTTTGTGTTAGTGGGAAGTTTTAAAATGTTCTTTGTGTATAAGAGTAAAAAAGATTTAACTAAATTCGTCAATGGTTTGCAGCAGATATTTCCCAATACGCCAGAACTGCAGGCAGAGTACAATATGCCGCATTATTTAAAACAATGTTCCCGCATAACGCTGAGTTTTTCCGGTCTTTATATGATTCTGATATGGACTTATAATCTTTTCAGTATCATACAGTATTTGGTATATGAATTATGGTTGAATATACGTGAAGTGGGTCAAACGTTGCCATATTTTATGTATATACCCTGGAATTGGAATAATCATTGGTCGTATTATTTACTCTATGCGTCACAAGATTTTGCGGGTTATACCTCGGCAGCTGGACAAATATCGGGTGATTTAATGCTCACCGCCTTTGCCACACAATTGATTATGCATTATGATTATGCCTCTTACAAACTTGCCAGCTATGAGGTGAAGCGTGGTTTAAAGGGTATAAATGAAGAGAAAGGTTATGCTCAGGATATGGATTTCTTAAAGGAAATGATACAATATCATACAAATCTACTAGAGTAAGTTGTAAAACTGTTCTTTTATATTATCAAGTAAAATTTTATTTCCTTTTAGTTTATCTGACCAATTGAATAATGTCTTTGGCAAACCTTTACTTTTAAACTTTGCCACCTCTTCGTTTGTCATTTGCTTTGTGGGGTTTCAAGTGACCATAGGAGCTACACCTGACACTATAGTAAAATTACTTTTATTTCTATTTTCCTCTATAGCTCAGGTGTATTTGATTTGTCATTATGGTCAAAATTTAATAGATTCGGTAAGATTTCTAGGTTAAAAACTTAAAACATTATTTAATGTATTTTCTTCCTACAGAGCACCAATATAGCTAGAGCTGTTTATAATCAAAATTGGATTGCTGCCGATATACGCTATCAGAAAATGTTGATATTAATAGCTGAACGTGCTCAAAAACCTGCTATTCTAAAGGCTACCTCATTTGTTTTGGTTTCGAGAGGCACCATGACAGAGGTTAGATATTTGAATTTTAATCAAAATATAAATATTTTCTTAAAGTTTATTTTTCATTCCACAGATCATGCAAATATCTTATAAATTTTTCGCTTTACTTAGGACCATGTATGTTAAGAAATGAATAAAATATATAAATTAAATAGCAATAATTATAAAGTTTAAAATAAATAAAAAAATTTACTTATAAAGAATAATGACCTAAGTATATTTTTATGGAATTTTGTTAGTGACACTTTAGTCTATAGTCTGGACTATTGTCATGACTATAGTTAAAACTATTGTTTGGACTATAGTCCAAATTAAAGCCAAGACTATATTTAGGGCAATAGTCATTAGAATATAGTTGCCAAGACTATTGCCAAGGCTTTAGTTAAGACTATAATCAATGCTAGAGTCAAGACTATAGTCAACGCTAAAGTCCATACTATTGTCAATACTATAGTCCTGTTTATAGTCCAGACTATTAGTTAGTTAGTTTGAAAGGAGGATGTACATATACATCAAATCCGAAGAAATACACCTAGGCCTCTATCGGGCCTGTTGTGCGCTCCTTAACCAGTGCCTCAGGTGGGAATCGAACCCACCACCTTCGGTCTACCAGACTAGAACACTAACCACTAACCTACCGGAGGCCAGACTATAGTCGAGGCATATTTTTATGAAATTTATTTGGTGACAGTTTAGTCTATAATGAGAAGTCATGTCTATAGCCAATACCATAGCAATAGCGTCTTGACTATAGTTTGAACTAGACAAGATTATTGTCCAGAATGTAGTCTTGACTATTGTCATATTTAAACTACAGCTTATGACAAATTTTATAGTCAAGACTATAAAACAGACTACTTATAACCAAAACTACAGTTCAGACTATATTAAAATTATAATTCAGACTATAGTTCAGAATAGTGTCCACTCCATAGCCCACACAGCAGTTCAGATTTGAGGTCAAACTATAGTCAAGGCCTTGTAGTTTAAACTACAGCTTATGACAAATTTTATAGTCAAGACTATAAAACAGACTACTTATAACCAAGACTACAGTTCAGACTATATTAAAATTATAATTCAGACTATAGTTCAGAATAGTGTCCACTCCATAGCCCAGACAGCAGTTCAGATTTGAGGTCAAACTATAGTCAAGGCCTTGTAGTTTTAACACTATAGTCTTGACTATAGTTTGAACTTGGCTATAGTGGAAATTGTAGTCAATAAGTTAGCGCAGATCATAGTCAAGACTACAGCGAATATTATAGTCGAGAATATAATTTATAGTTCAGTCTATAGCCAGAGCTATAACCAGGACTACAGTCAGTATATAGTACATATTGCAGTGAAGATCTCGGTCTCTCGGTCTATAAAAAAGTCTGACAAGTAATAACTAAATTCTTAACATTAAAAATTTTTTTTCAAATTTACCTTAATTAAGGAGGAGCAAATTATTTTTTTTATAAATTTTTTATATAAATACATATCACTAAATTTTAAATTTTCCCGTGTGTAAAAGAAATCCCTTTTTGGGGAAATTTTGTTTTAAAGAAAATTTGAATATAAATTTCTTGAAATTTTGAAATTATCCATCATGTAAAAAAATTTCTTTAAAATGAAATTTGCATAACTTTAGATAAATTTTCAAATGCTTGATAAATTTGGAAAATTGTCCTTTTTTAAAAAAATTGCTCTTTTTTAGGGAATTTTTGATTGAAAGAAAAGGTATATAAAATTTTATGGTTTTACAACAAAAACTAAATGTTTATTGAAAATTTTACAAAATTAAAAATGTTATATACAAAATTTCGAAAATTTCCCTAATTTTAAAAAAATTTCTTTTTGGGGAAATTTGGTTTTAAAGGAGTTTTGTATTAATTTTTATAGATTTCAAACAAGTATTAATTGTTTTGGCAAATTTCATAAAATTTCGTAAATTTCCCTTATGTTAAAAAATTCCCTTTTTAGGGAAATTTAGTTTTTAAGGAAATTTATATAACTTTTTATAGATTTCAAACAAATATTTATTGTTTTATGCAAATTTCGAAAATTTCCCTTATGTAAAAAAATTTCCCTAAAAAGGAAATTTAGTTTTTAAGCAAATTTATATAGATTTCAAACAAGTATTAATTGTATTAATTTTATTATTAATTTTACAAAATTTCAAAAATTTCTTTTATGTAAAAAAAAAATCCCTTTTAGGGATTTTAAGGAAAATTTTTATATTTTTTATATAGATTTCAAACATGTATTAATGGTTTTAGGCAAATTTCATAAAATTTTCAAAATTTCCCTTAAGTAAAAAGATTTCCTTTTTAGGGAAATTTGTTTTTAAGGAAATTTATAAAACTTTTTATAGATTTCAAACAAGTATTAATTGTTTTAGGCAAATTTAATAAAATTTTGAAAATTTCTCTTATGTAAAAAAATTTCCTTTTCTAAGGAAATTTTGTTTATAAGGAAATTTATATAACTTTTTATAGATTTCAAACAAGTATTAATTCTTTTAGGCAAATTTCATAAAATTTTCAAAATTTCCCTTAAGTAAAAAAATTTTCTTTTTAGGGAAATTTAGTTTTTAAAGAAATTTATATAACTTTTTATAGATTTCAAATAAGTATTAATTGTTTTAGGCAAATTTCATAAAATTTTGAAAATTTCCCGTATTTAAAAAAAATTCCCTAAAAGGGAAATTTAGATTTTAAGGAAAATTTAATAGTTTTTATATAGATTTCAAAAAAGTATTAATTGTTTTATGCAAATTTCACAAAATTTCTAAAATTTCCCTTATGTAAAAAAATTTCCCTCTTTTGGGAAATTTTGTTTTAAAGGAATTTTATGTAACTTTTTATAGATTTCAAACAAGTATAAATTGTTTTAGGCAAATTCCATAAAATTTCGAAAATTTCCCTTATGTAAAAAAAATTCCCTAAAAAGGAAATTTAGATTTTAAGGAAAATTTTTATATTTTGTATATATATTTAATTGTTTTATGCTAATTTCATAAAATTTCCAAAATTTCCCTTATGTAAAAAAATTTCCTTTTCTAGGGAAATTTTGTTTTTAAGGAAATTTATATAACGTTTTACACCAAATTTCATAAAATTTCGAGAAGTTTCCTTATGTAAAAAAATTTTCCTAAAAAGGAAATTTAGTTTTGAGGCAATTTTATATAACTTTTTATTTTAATTTTCACAAAATTCTGTAAAGTTCCCTTATAGGAAAATTTGTTTTTTAAGAAAATCTATATAAATTTACAAAAAAAAAATTAAAAAAATTTTCTATAAATATCACAAAATTTCCTAAAGTTGGAAAATTTCTTTTACTTTCCGCTTAGTAAAATTCTGTTCTCACTGATTTCAAAGAATTCTAAGACATAAAGTATACGCACATCAGTTTCCAGGGTAATAATATCACTCATACGTTAGAGTAATTTAAAATTTAGTATTTATTGAGTAACACTTAAGGGAAATGAGTTTTTTTTTTTTTTCTTAAAATGAAAGAGTGACTTATATTTTATAACGCTCAATAGCTAACGGACTTCCTGATATGATTAAATTGAGTGGTTTTCCAATGACAAATTTCAATAAAGAACATTTATTTTACTAAATTAAAAAGAGATAATAGATTTTTTATATTAAATTAGAGAAAAAAAAGCTAATAAATATTTGATTTCTGGAAATTTACTTAGTATTGTTAAATTTGGACTAATATGAAATATTCATAAAGTATTACGGTTCCTGGGCGTGGACAGTACACATTTAATATTTAAAGCGGAAATAATGGTTCAACCTTCATAGATTTCCACCTAAAAAAACTAAGTTAACTTCATATGAGAAAATTTTAAAATTTTCAGTCTGACGGCTGCTTTCGTAAAGTTAAGTTAAAATTTCGTAAGAATAATTAAACATTACAAAAAAAAATGAAAATTTTCTCAGCTAAATTTGAAGATTTTTTCAAATTAGCCAATTTTTTCTATACCTCCACTGGCATGGTTTTTGTGAAAACGGAAAAGCTCACCTTGTTTAAAACTCTATTGGCTTCGTTTATTTTTTACGCCAGCATTATAAATATGAATTATGTTTTATGTCTGGAAGTTGTTTATGTGATTTTAGCCATTGTGAATAAAACTAAATTCCTAGAAGCCACCATGACTCTATCGTATATTGGTTTTGTGGTAGTGGGTAATTTTAAAATGTTATTTGTTTGGCGTAAGAAAGCGGAGTTAACCAAACTGCTAAATAACTTAAAGTACATATTCCCCGAGGACACGCAACAGCAAAAGAATTACAATCTACACTACTATTTGTCTCAGTGTACTCGCATTACTATAGGATTTTCGCTCATCTATATGATTGCCATTTGGACTTATAATCTCTTTACGGTTACACAATTTCTTATCTATGAAAAATGGTTGCAAATACGCCAAATTGAAAAGATTTTACCTTATTTTATGTATACTCCTTGGGATTGGTCAGATCATTGGTCTTACTATGTTTTATATGTGTCACAAGATTTTGCTGGTTATACTTCAGCCGCCGGCCAAATATCGGGAGATTTATTATTGAGTAGTTGTGCCACTCAAATGATAATGCATTATGATTTTCTAACCAGAACTATAGAGGAGTATAAACCCAAGTTATTGGAAAAAGGAGTGAAAAGGGAAACTGCCTTCAAACAGGACATGGAATTTTTAATTAATATGATACAATATCATTCCTATTTGTTGGAGTAAGTGAATTACACCCGGAAACATAAAGGTACAATTTTATATTTTTAATTTTTTTCTTTTAGTTTATCCTACCAAATGAACAATATTTTTGGTCTGCCCATTTTACTTAACTTTATTGCTTCATCTTTTGTGATTTGCTTTCTGGGCTTTCAAATGACTATCGGTGCCACGCCGGAGACTTTGTTGAAACTGAGTCTATTTTTGGCCATTTCTATAGCTCAAATTTATCTTATATGTTATTATGGTCAAGAGCTAATTGATTCGGTAAGCATAACTCGTTGCATTTTAATAGAAACGTAAAATTTCATAAATTTTTTTTTATAGAGTGTCAAAGTGGCCAAAGCTGTTTATAATCAGAACTGGCCCACTGCTGATGTACGTTATCAGAAAATGTTAGTTTTAATTACTGCGCGAGCTCAAAAACCAGCCCAGCTGAAGGCTACCGATATGGTTTTAATATCAAGAGAAACCATGACACAGGTAAGGAATCAAACAGAAACAGAAATAAAAAAACTATAGACTATAGACTATAGACTAGACTATAGACTAGACTATAGACTAGACTATAGACTAGACTATAGACTAGACTATAGACTAGACTATAGACTAGACTATAGACTAGACTATAGACTAGACTATAGACTAGACTATAGACTAGACTAGACTAGACTAGACTAGACTAGACTAGACTAGACTAGACTAGACTAGACTAGACTAGACTAGACTAGACTAGACTAGACTAGACTAGACTAGACTAGACTAGACTAGACTAGACTAGACTAGACTAGACTAGACTAGACTATAGACTAGACTATAGACTAGACTAGAGACTAGACTATAGACTATACTATAGACTAGACTATAGACTAGACTATAGACTAGACTATAGACTAGACTAGACTAGACTATAGACTAGACTATAGACTAGACTATAGACTATACTATAGACTAGACTATAGACTAGACTATAGACTAGACTATAGACTAGACTATAGACTAGATCATAGACTAGACTATAGACTAGACTACAGACTAGACTATAGACTAGACAATAGACTAGACTATAGACTAGACTATAGACTAGATTATAGACTAGACTATAGACTAGACTGGACTAGACTAGACTAGACTAGACTAGACTAGACTAGACTAGACTAGACTAGACTAGACTAGACTAGACTAGACTAGACTAGACTAGACTAGACTAGACTATAGACTAGACTATAGACTAGACTAGACTAGACTATAGACTAGACTAGACTAGACTAGACTAGACTAGACTAGACTAGACTAGACTAGACTAGACTATAGACTAGACTAGACTAGACTAGACTAGACTAGACTAGACTAGACTAGGCTAGACTAGACTAGACTAGACTAGACTAGACTAGACTAGACTAGACTAGACTAGACTAGACTAGACTAGACTAGACTAGACTAGACTAGACTAGACTAGACTAGACTAGACTAGACTAGACTAGACTACTAGACTAGACTAGACTAGACTAGACTAGACTAGACTAGACTAGACTAGACTAGACTAGACTAGACTAGACTAGACTAGACTAGACTATAGACTATAGACTATAACTATAGACTAGACTAGACTAGACTATGACAGACTAGACTAGACTATAGACTAGATAGACTATAGACTAATAGACTATAGACTAGACTAGACTAGACTAGACTAGAACTATAGACTATAGACTATAGACTATAGACTATAGACTATAGACTATAGACTATAGACTATAGACTATAGACTATAGACTATAGACTATAGACTATAGACTAGAGCTAGACTAATAGACTAGACTAGAACTAGACTAGACTATAAGACTATACTAGAACTAGACTAGACTATAGACTAGACCTAGACTATACTAGACTAGACGAGACGATAGAACTAGACTATACTAGACTGACTAGACTAGACTAGACTAGACTAGTACTAGACTAGACTAGACTAGACTAAGACTAGACTAGACTAGACTAACTAGACTTAGACATAGACTAGACTAGATAGAACTAGAGACTAGACTATAGACTAGACCTAATAGACTAGACTATAGACTAGACTATAGACTAGACTATAGACTAGACTATAGACTAGACTATAGACTAGACTATAGACTAGACTATAGGACTAGACTATAGACTAGACTATAGACTAGACTATAGACTAGACTATAGACTAGACTATAGACTAGACTATAGACTAGACTATAGACTAGACTATAGACTAGACTATAGACTAGACTATAGACTAGACTATAGACTAGACTATAGACTAGACTATAGACTAGACTATAGACTAGACTATAGACTAGACTATAGACTAGACTATAGACTAGACTATAGACTAGACTATAGACTAGACTATAGACTAGACTATAGACTAGACTATAGACTAGACTATAGACTAGACTATAGACTAGACTATAGACTAGACTATAGACTAGACTATAGACTAGACTATAGACTAGACTATAGACTAGACTATAGACTAGACTATAGACTAGACTATAGACTAGACTATAGACTAGACTATAGACTAGACTATAGACTAGACTATAGACTAGACTATAGACTAGACTATAGACTAGACTATAGACTAGACTATAGACTAGACTATAGACTAGACTATAGACTAGACTATAGACTAGACTATAGACTATAGACTATAGATTAAACTATAGACTAGACTATAGACTAGACTATATAATAGACTATAGACTAGACTATATACTAGACTATAGACTAGACTATTAACTAGACTATAGACTAGACTATAGACTAAACTATGGACTAGACTAGAGACCAGACTATAGACTAGACTATAGACTAGGCTTTAGACTAGTCTAGAGAATAGACTGTAGACTGGTCTAAAGAATAGACTATAGACTAGTCTAGAGACTAGATTATAGTCTATTCTAGAGACAAGACGGTAGACTATACTATAGACTATACTACAGACTAAACTATAGAATATACTATAGACTAGTCTAGAGAATAGACTATAGACTAGACTATAAACTTGGCTTTAAACTAGGCTCTAGACTATAGACTAGACACAAGACTAGTTTAGTCTAGAGAATAGACTATAGACTAGTCTAGAAAATATACTATAGTCTAGTCTAAATATTAGACGATTGACTAGACTATAGACTATACTACAGACTAAACTATAGACTAGTCTAGAGAATAGACTATAGACTAGACTATACTATACACTAAACTATACTACAGACTAAACTATAGAATATACTATAGACTAGACTATAAACTAGACTGTAAGATAAACTACAGACTAGACATTGACTACACTGCAATTTCACAACAACTGATACTGCCTTACAGACATCAAGACAAGTTGCTAGAGGAAAAAATTCACAGATTCTGTTACTTTTTCATAATTGAAACAATTGTTCCTTACAGACATCAAGACAAGTTGCTAAAGGGAAAAAATCCACAGATTCTGTTACTTTATCAATATTTGAAACAATTGTGGCTCTTTTTTTATTTATTTATATTAACTCTTTATTTTCTTTTAGCTCATCCAGATATCTTATAAATTTTTCACTCTACTAAGGACTATGTATGTAAAAAAATAATTTTTAATACTTAAAAATGTACTTAATGCATGACTTAAGTTTTAGCAGTTTGTCTAACACTTTTTTAAATAGTTTTTTATGATTTAAATAGTTTATTGTGAAAGCTTTAAAATTACATTAAAAAAGTTTTAGTTTAGGATAAATAGTTGTAAAGTTACAAAGAAAAATGTACGTAAACTCATAATTGGAAATAATCATACGCACAGTTGTACCATTGCAATAAGATTTAAATTTTCTTAAAAACAAGTGAAATTTTGAACAATTTCCTAATGGATTAAATGACTAATTTTATTAGTTTTAAAATCCATTAACTCTTTTTCACTTAGTATTTATTATATTCAAGTTTTAAAGAAAAATATATGAAAACCTCAAAATTATTAATAATCATATATACATATAATCTGGTATAATTTCCTTATCATTTAAAGAGCTTATTATTTTGCCATTGAAATCTAATTAAAGTTGCTTATTTAGAATCAATTGTTCTCAATAATTAAGTTCTATTAGTTAAGAAAAGTACGAAAACCTTAAAATTATCAATAATCATACGTCCAGTTGTATAAAATTATAAATTACTTTAATAAATTATAATGTGAAAAGCTTATTTGTAATTTAAGTAGTTTAATGTGTTAAAATTTTATAGTTCTTTTATACTCAAAATCAATTGTTTTAAAGTAAAATATATGAAAATCACATAATTATTAATCATATGTATAGTTGTAATGTTTTAATAGAGTTAAGAAAAACTAATTTGCTAAATAATATCATTATTAGGTCGTTTAAGACCATTTGTTTAGAAGTTATTAAGTAAAGTTTATAATAAATGAAATAATTAATAACAATCATACGCATAGTTGTACTATTCCAATATAACGAAAAATATATTAAATTATCAGAATTGATAATAATCATACGCAACGTTGTACTATTCTAATAGAAATTTTATTTTGAATAATTATTTTTTGCAATTTAGCAGCACTTCAATTAAAGCTTTTTGAGAGCTTTCCCTTTATCAGATCTCATACCCGCTTACACTTTCAATTGTCTAACATAATTACTTTACATTTAATTTATTTATATATATATTTAATACTTAAACAATATCCTTCATTATACTCTATCAATTGCTTTTTTAAATTAGTTCTCTATATCCTTTTTTAATCGAATTATAATGGAAAATTGTTCAACAACATCTTAATTAAAATTACTCATACGCTTAGGTAACCTCTTTTTTAAGTTTCATTTAGTATTTGTTTTTAGTATTACTTTTACAATCTTTTTACAATTTTCTTGTTAAAATCACATTTTTATTTTCTAAACTTATTATTTTCTCCATTTAGAAACAACAACCTTACAAAACTTAAGTTAAACAAACATGTAGAAGAAAAATTAAATTTTATTGTTTCACTAGAATAAAATGGAAAATAAAGATATGAAAAAAAAATGAAAATGCTATAAAGGACTTAACATTTATTCATGTCAACATTTACTTGTTCTATTTTAAAATGTAGTTTTTTTTTTTTTTTTTTTTTTTTTGTTCACAACTTTTCATATTTCTAGCAGTAGCAACAATAACAATTACAATTTATAAGTAACAGCAACAAAATTGTTAGTTGTAGCAGCAATTATGAAGTGTTTGTTATTACAATGTTGATTGTGTGACAAGAAGTGGGTAGAGACGTACTAGTGAAAGTGCATTGGCTATAAGTGTAAATGGGTTTTAAGTTAAATTGTTAAAATTTGAATGTTCACTTTAAGTCTTTTTAAAAGCTTAAAGTCTGCGAGTTTTGGAAAAAATTCCTTTTAACAAAGAAAATGCGTTATTAGAAAGCTGTAGTAGTTTTATAGTATTTTTTATGTAAAAAACAACTTTTTGAGCTTTTCATGTTAAAAGAGCTTTTTTGAGTCTTTTAGGTTGAGAAGCTTTTTTATGAATAAACTTTTTTATATTTACAGTGTTTTTTATTAAAAAAAGCAAACATTTTAAGCTTTTCACAAACTTTTTGATCTTTTTAGGTAGACAAGCTTTTTATGTGGAAAAGTTGTTCAAGCTTTTTTTGTGAATCAACTTTTTGAGCTTTTATTCTGAACAAATTTTTTTAGTCTTGTTACATACAAGACTCAAAAAGCTTTTTTTGAGAAAAAAATCCTTTTAACGAAGAAAACTTGTTTATGAAATGTAAAAAAAAACTTTTTGAGCTTTTCATGTTAAAGAGCTTTTTTGAGTCTTTTAGGTTGAAAAGCTTTTTTAGATTTACAGCTTTTCAAAACTTTTTTTGATCTTTTTAGGTAGACAAGCTTTATATGCGGAAAAGTTGTTTGAGCTTTCAGTATGAAACAACTTATTGAACTTTTGTTGTGAACAGGCTTTTTGAGTGTTTTATGTAAAAAATCCTTTTAACGAAAAAATTTGTTTATAAAAAGCTTTAACAGTTTTATAATATTTTTTATGTTATAAAAACCTTTTGAGCATTTAATGTTAAAGAGCTTTTTGCGTCTTTTATGTTGAGAAGCTTTTTATATGAAGAAACTTACAGTTTTTTATGTAAAAGACATTTTGATATTTTTACAAGCTTTTTATGTTGAAAAGTTGTTTGATCTTTTTAGATGAAAAAACTTTCTGAGCTTTTGTTGTGAACATGCTTTTTGAGTCTTGTATGTAAAAAAATGTTTTAAAAAGCTTTTTGTGTTGAACAGTTTCTGGAGCATTTTTTGCAGTAAAGCTTTTGGAGCTTTTTATGTAAAAAAGTGTTGTAGCTTTTACGTGAAAAATCTGTTAGAACCTTTCTGGTAAAAAAGACTTTACAGATTTTAAGGTAAAAAAAAAACTTTAGAGCTTTTTATGTAAAAAAAAACCTTCAGAGCTTTTTACGTAAAAAAAGTTGTTGAAGCTTTCTATAAAAGCTTTTAACGTTCAAAAGTTTCTGAAGCTTGTGTAGCTTTTTATGTAAAACAAGTGTTGTAGCTTTTTATATAAAAAATATGTTAAAACTTTTTCGGTAAAAAAGCCTTTAGAGCTTTTAGAGCTTTTTATGTAACAAAACCTTTAGAGCTTTTTATGTAAAAAAAACCTTCAGAGCTTTAAAAAGCCTTTAGGGATTTTTATGTAAAAAAGCTTTTAAAGCTTTCTATAAAAGCTTTTATGTTGGAAAGTTTCCGAAGCATTTTTTGTAGTAAAGCTTTTAACCTTTATATGTAAATATAAAAAATTTGTGAAAACTTTTTAAGTAACAGAACCATTAGAGCTTTTAATGTAACAAAACCTTTACCGCTTTTTATGTAAAAGAGACTTCAGTGCTTTTTATGTTAAAAAAGTATTTAGAGCTTTTTATGTAAAAACGCATTTCGAGCTTTTTACGTAAAAAAGGCTTTTAAAGCTTACTGAGATTCATTAGTAGAAACGCTTTACAGAATAACAAGAATTTCGAGTTGCATGTCTTAAAGGTTGTATCCCTCTTTAGATTTAAAAAAATCTTAAAATTTTATTTACCTTATTAAAACAAAAAGCTTTTTCTTACTTATAAAGAACCAGTTTAAAGAAAATCTTTTTATAAATAAATGTTGTGAGAGCTTTTAAAATAATCTTTCACACGTCCAGCATGAAATGTAAAAACATCATATTTGATTAATAAATTTTATTGATTTTAACTTTTTGTAGAAAATTATTGCAGAAAAAAACAAAAATAAGCTAAATACACACAATTTTGCCAAATACCTTTTTAATCAACAAAATCACGTTTCACCCAAAAACAAACTACGATCGATTTAAAAACTTCCTGACTGACTGTCAGCCAGCTGCTATACGCTGCAGCAGTTGGATTTAATTTTATCAATATGTTTTCTATATAATATTTGATTAAAAAGTTAAAAGAACTCAAAGCAAAAAAAAAAAAAGAAAACCAAATTTCTGACACATTTATGCAGTGGATTTGGACAACAAAAAAAAATATGGTACACAACTAAATTTAGTATTATTCCTGCAGCACTGCACACGTGTGTGTTGAGTGAATATGATAAATGTGTTATAGAACTAAAATGTATTTTCTGATGTGTTAATAAATTTTAATCCATAGAGAGATTTTTCCCACAATTTTTTACATTTTTTTCTGTTATTTTAGCTGCTGTTGTTGCAATTTAACTAAACTGCTATATAATGCCAAACTGAAAATGTTCCTGTAAAATGTATATGTGTGTTAAGGTGTGTGAGTGTAGCTCAATATGATGACCAAAGTGATGAGTAAATAAAATAAAATTGCTTGTGTGTAGAAAACGGAGAAAAACAAATTAAATTTGTTTACATACATTGGATAGCTTTTTTTTAGTTTTACATTTTATGTTTTAGCAAAAGTGAATTAATAAAATGTATTTTCGAAAAAAAAAAATCTATTTGAAATTAAGCAGAATTTGTTGCTAAGAAAAACAATGGGAAGGTTATACAAAATAAATTTAAATTTCTAAATTAATCTTTAAAGCTTTTCATGTAAAAAAGCTGTTTGAGCTTTACATGTAAAAAAACTTTTTGAGCTTTTCATGTTAAAAAGTTTTGAGCTTTTTATGTAAAAAATGTTTTGAGTTTTTACTTAAAAAAGTATTTTGGGCTTTTTCGAAAAAGAGCTTTTTGAGCTTTTTATGTAAAAAGAGCTTTTGAGCTTTTTGAGCTTTTTATGTAAAAAGCTTTTTGAGCTTCTCATGTAAAAAAAGCTTTTGATCTTAAAAAGCATTATCAGCTTTTGATGTTAAAAAGCTTATGAGCTTTTGATATAAAATGCTTTTAGAGCTTTTTATGTAATACAGCTTTTGAAGCTTTTTATATTAAAAAACTTTTAGATCTTTTTTACGAAAAAAAAGCTTTTGAAGCTTTTTTATTTAAAATCTTGAAGATACATATTGTGTAACAATCCCACCAAAAATATTATTCATACACTTTGTTATTTTATTTTCATTAAAAATCAAATTTTTCCAAAATTTAAATAATTTGTTTAATTAATTTCCTAAGCTTT